CCGGGAATGAGAGATTGAAGAGTAATGACATTGCATTCATCGTCAAAAAGAACATTTCAACATCTATCCAGAAGTACAAGACTGTCAGTGATAGTACGCATACTCCTACAAGGAAGACCAGTTAATACAACTATTATTTAAATTTATGTACCAACCACTAAGGCCAAAGATGAAGAAATTAAAGATTTTTACGAACTTTTGCAGTCTGAAATTGATCAAATATGCAGTCAGGATGCATTGATAATTACCAGTGATTGAAAGATGAAAGTTGGAGATAAAGAAGGATTAGTAGTTGGAAAATGTGGCCTTGGTGATAGAAATGATGCCAGAGATCACATGATAGAATTTTACAGGACCAATGACTTCTTCGTTGCAAATACCGTTTTTCATCGACATAAATGGCGACTATACACGTGGACCTTGCCAGATGGAATACACGGGAATCAAATCGACTACATCTGTGGAAGGAGATGATGGAAAAGCTCAATACTATCAACCAGAACAAGGCCAGGGGCCGACCATCAATTGCTCATATGCAAGTTCAAGTTGAAACTGAGGAAAATTAGAACAAGTCCACGAGAGCCAAAGAATGACCTTGAGCATATCCCACCTGATTTAGAAACCATCTCAAGAATAGATTTGATGTGTTGAATACTAATGACCGAACACCAGACGAATTGTGGAATGACATCAAGGACATCATACATGAAGAAAGCAAGAGGTCATTAAAAAGACAGGAACAAAAGACCAAAATGGATGTTAAAAGAGACTCTGAAACTTGCTCTTGAACATCAAGTAGCTAAAGCGAGAAGTAGAAATGATGAAGTAAAAGAGCTAAACAGTTTCAAAAGGCAGCTTGAGAAGACAAAGTAAAGTATTATTATGACATGTGCAAAGACCTAGAGGTAGAAAACCAAAAGGGAAGAACATGCTTGGCATTTCTCAAGCTCAAAGAACTGAAGAAAAAATTCAAGCCTCAAGTTGCAATATTGAAAAATTTCTACCGGGAAAGTATTAAACGATGCAGGAACCAATCAAAAGAAGATGGAAGGAGTACACAGAGTTACTGTACCAAAAAGAATTGGTCGATGTTCAACCATTTCAGGAGGTAGCAAATGATCAGGAACCAATGGTACTGAAGGAAGAAGTCCAAGCTGCACTGAAGACATTGGCAAAAAGAAAAAACAAGGCTCCAGGAATTGACAGAATACCAGTTGAGGTGTTTCAACAAATGGATGCAGCACTGGAAGTGCTCACTCATCTATGCCAAGAAATTTGGAAGACAGCTACCTGGCCAACTGACTGGAAGAGATCCATATTTATGCTTATTCCCAGGAAAGGTGCTCCAGCTGAATGTGGAAATTATCAAACAATGTCATTAATGTCACATGCAAGTAAACTTTTGCTGAAAATCGTTCTGAAGTGGCTGCAGCAGTATATCGAAGGGAAGTGTCACAAATTCAAGCCAATTCAGAAGAGGACTTGGAACCAGGGATATCATTGCTGATGTCAGGTGGATCTTGACTGAAAGCAGAGAATACCAAAAGATGTTTACCTGTGTTTTATTGACTATGCAAAGGTATTTGACTGTGTGGATCATAACAGATTATGGATAACATTGTGAAGAATGGGAATTCCAGAACACTTAATTGTGCTCCTGAGAAACCTGTACATAAATCAAGAGGCAGTTGTTGGAACAGAACACGGGGATACTGCATGGTTTAAAATTAGGAAAGGTGTGTGTCAGGGTTGTATCCTTTCACCATACCTATTCAATCTGTATGCTGAACAAATAATCCGAGAATCTGGACTATATGAAGAAGAACAGGGCCTCAGGATTGGAGTAGACTCTCTGTCACACCGCCAGATCTCTTTCTCTCTGTAGATCCATATCGTTCTTTCAGACCTGATCTTCCTCTCATGCTGGAAACATTTCTACTTACAGTTCTGACCTGGTGATAGTTTCTCTGCTTGTTTTTATCTGTGTTGTTTGCCTTGTTTTAAGCTTGTAAGAGGCAAGGACTTACCTTCTTTTGTTAATAAAACCCGTTGCCTTTGAGTCGATTCTGACTCATATCGACCCTGTAGGAGAGAGTAGATATTCTCTGTAGGGTTTCCAAGGCTGTAAATCTTTACAGAAGAAGACTGCCACATCTTTCTCCTGTGGAGCAGCTGGTAGGTTTGAACTGCTGACCTTTCAGTTAGCAGTTGAGCAGTTAACTGCTGCACCACCAGGGTTTCTTTTGTTAATAAAGTATAGTATTAATAGAGTGCGGTCAAGCTTTATTATGGTTTCAGTTCTGTCCATGCTACCTGCGAGTGACCATGGGGGAGTGTGGAAGAGTAACAGCTGAGACATTGCTAATCCTGAGAACACCAGCTTGTTTATAAGGAAATGAGGAGGCTGCAGAGCAGGGATGGTGTCCGTATAGACCATGCAGTCCCTGCTGCTGCCCTTAGCCCTGTCTGTGTCCCTTCGAGTGACTTTGACATTGAATTTTGGCATTATCGAAGGTGGGTGGGGTTATTTATAAGCTCGATAATATTTTAATTCACTAACATATAGGCAGCACTTACTATGTGCTAGGCTCATAGGTGCCAAGAATTCAAAGATAAATATGACAGGGTCCTCCTCTTTAGGATCTATATCCAAGTAGGGAAGACACAAGGAGCCCTGGTTGCACAGTAGTTAAGCGCTCAGTTGGTAACTGAACTCACCAGTGGCAATTTGAACCCACCAGCTACTTGGCAGGAGAAAGATGTGGCAGTCTGCTTCCATAAAGATTTACAGCCTTGGAAACCCTATAGGGCAGTTCTTCTCTGTCCTATAGGGTCGATATGAGTCAGAATCGACTTGACAGCAATGGGTTTGGTTTGGTTTGGATGGTAAAGATGCTATAGGAGTAGAGAAGTGGCCTTTCAGTGAAACGAGGGAATCCAGGAGGGCTACTGAAGGAATGAGAATTAGCTGAAGGAGAAATAAGGTCAGAGAAGGTTAGGTATGAACGACAGTGCAAGCAGAGGGAGAGAAGCCCCGAGGGATACTACTGCTCCAGGCTGGGGAGTCAGGGCATCTGTGTGGCTCTGGCCTACTCCCTGGAATTACCAATTTCCTTGTGCCTCGGTTTCCCCTTCAGTCAAATATAGGTACTGATGTCTGCTCTCCTTACCTTAGGAGTTTGCTGTTAGGATCAAATAAAGATGATCAAAATTAAAAGATATTATATTAATGATTATGAGGGAAAAATATCATTTGAGTAGAGCCTCATTTATTCAGCTTCTTTGGGGAAAAAAAAGTGTTTTATATAAGTGAAATTTTTAGGTAACTGAAGTGTAGCCTTTAAAGAAGTAATCATTTTATCAATTTCTTTAGTATTGTCTTTTCTAAAATACTTCCATGCATCTGTCAGTTTGTCGTACTGTAGGGCTTGCGTGTTGCTGTGATGCTGGAAGGTATGCTGCAGGTATTCAAATACCAACATGGTCACCCATGGTGGACAGGTTTCAGCTGAGCTTCCAGACTAAGACAGACTAGGAAGAAGGATCCAGCAGTCTACTTCTGAAAAGAATTAGCCAGTGAAAACCTTATGAATAGCAGCGGAACATTGTCTAATACAGTGCCAGAAGATGAGCCCCTCCGGTTGGAAGACGTAACAACGATTGTGAGGATGGCACAGGACCGGGCGTTGTTTTTGTTCTGTTATACATACGGTTGCTGTGAGTCAGAATTGACTCGACAGCACCTAACAACAACAACAATTCTAAAATATGTCATTTGCAACCCTAGTTTTTTAAACTATTTCTCAAACAGTTGCTTACTCTGTTTGGATACCAATAGCCCCCTGTTCCCTTTTTTCTTTATTTTTAGTCTCTCAGCATTAATGTCAGACATGGAATGGTACAGGAATGCCTTCAGGGCTATTGAGAAGTGAAGGGATTAACGGTGGGGACAATTGGGTTTTGAGTTCTTAGATCTGCATTTCATAGATTTTCTATTTTTCTTTCTGGTATCTGCTGTTACGTCTTGCATTTTTAATTCTGCTTCTTCTTTCTAACTTGCTGCTTTTTCTCTTTTAAAGACTGGAAAACCAGAAAACCAATCTCATTGGAATTACATTTAAAATAAGAGTAAACAGACTGTGAAAAAGAATCAAAGAGCTTGCCAAATGTTGCAGATTGTGTGATCTTTAGTGCATGCATGTATGAATGTATGTGTTGGCTCTTTCTGCTCATTTTCTGAGTCTAACTCTGGCCCAGATATCTAATGCAAGAGTTGGCTGGCTGGGACTTCACCTGTGAATGGTCAGAGGCCCACAGGATTGGTTGGTAGGAATTCTTGGCCTTCTTCCAGCTGTGGGCCACAAACCTTGAAGATTTTCCACCCCACCCACCTGAAGAATTTCATCCTTGTCAGGCCAGGTTTTGAATGTTTGTTGCTAAATAAGGGTAATGGGCAGAGAGTCTTAGAATTAGTAAGGCAGGAGGAAAGATGGGTAGAAAGGATGAAACTCAGGAGGGCAGGAGTGGCTTGAAGCCAAAACTGAGACTAAAGCACCTCCCCGTCAACAGCATGGAGCGGGGGAGTAGCCACTTTAAGTGGGAGGGCAGAGGGGAGGAAGTGGTGGAAGCGATCGAGGGTGGCAAGGTGGAGGAGTGGAAGAAAATAGGGCGGTATGCGGAGGTGGGGAAGGGGCAGGGATGGGTTTGGACCAGCATTGCCTGCTTTGAACTCTGTCCTAGTTTATGTTCTTTCTTTTCCTTTTTTGGAGAGTCACTGGCATCGCTACAGGACTCATGGCTTTGCAGCCATTAATGGTGACAGTTACTGGGGGCATTTGCCACTGTGGGGTCGCCGGTGGCCATATTGTCAGACCCCACAGTACAGAGCAATCCCTCTTGAGAAAGTGGATTTTGGGTAATGGTTGGCCACTGAGTCTTCCCACTTGGTTATCTTCCATCCCTGTGACCACTGAGTCTCTGTCTCTCTCCTCCTTCTCCAGGTCGGTGGCCGGTTTGGATAAGGAGGCAGACCTGGTGCATATGGAGGTGCGGACAAACGATGGATGTAAGTACCACTCAATGTGCCCAGCTAGGCCCAGGGAGATCTGGCCAAGGGTCTTTCTTCCCCTAATTTGCATTTTAATAGTTTGGGAAGATGAAAAGCCCTGAGCTCCATTACTGCCATATTCATCCTTATTTACTAGAGTAGGGGAGAGACTGCCAGTCCAGAGGGAGATGTGTTTCATTGCTATAAACCCTCAGGAATGAATTTTCGGGGAATGTGAGTTAATGTGATGAGTTTTGAGACTCCTCTTCGTAATTTCTTGGTATTTTCAGTAGAATTTGAATAGGGGTGTCCAGAGCTCATTATGGCATTGTGAATTCACATGGTCAATTGCAGAGACTGCCTGCTTTTAAAAAATGGAGTGTTTAGATACTAGCTTACCAAAATAAGTAACTGGGCAATTATTTTCGAAAGTATTTATTTTTTAATTCAGCAAATGTTTAGGGATGGCCAACTGTGTGCCAGGCATTTCTCTAGGCCCTGGGGATACAGTGATGTAGAAGACCTACATTGTTCGTGCAAACAGGGGTCTCTGTTCTAGTGGTGGAACCTCGAAATTTCAAACACATGGCACTCTTACATGTTGTTCAGGTGCCCTGGTGGCACAGTGGTTAACTTCTCGGCTGCTAACCGAAAGGTCAGCAATTGGAACCTATCAGCTGCTACGCAGGAGAAAGATGTAGCAGTCTGATTCCGTAGAGATTACAGCCTTGGAAACCTTATGGTGCAGTTCTACTCTGTCCTATAGGGTTGCTATGAGTTGGAATTGACTCGATAGGCAAGGGGTTGTACATTGTTCAACTATGTACATCTTACACAGTACCTGACTGATAAATTATCATTTTGTACCTATCTAGAAACCTGGCTCTGACACCCTGGAGCAAACCCAGTATAAGCTGGTCCCATTTCTTGTTTAGATATAGGAATCTCCATTGTGGCCTATTCCTGGTCCATTTTTTTAGGAGTCAAACTTCCAGATTAAGCTAAAAATCAGGGAATTATCTCTTCTCCTGGTAGAGTTTAAACATGTCAGAGCCAATCAGTTTGGTTAACAATAGTACGAAGCCTGTTTCTGCCATGAGATTCAGGATTCAAATTGCCTTTTCTCCATTCTTTTCTGGAAATTGTCTTTCTCTAAAGGCCCCCTGTGTTCTCTCTGTCTCTGTCTCTGTTTCTCTTTCTCTCTCTTTCTCTGTCTTGCTCTTTCTCTCTCTCTCTGTCACACACCCACACCCACACCCACACCCACACCCACACCCTTACCCTCACCCTCCCTCCCTCCCTCCCTCTATTCAGGAGGCAGTTGAGTGTTGATAGAAAGAGCATTAACTTGGTGTCCTAAGAGTTGAGTTAGAGAATTAACTCTGTTATTTAGAAGCTGTTTGACCTTGGACAAATCTCTTAATCTTTCTGTGATCCCTCATCTAGTCTTTACATATCTGAAAACACTAACAAATATAAAAAATATTTTTTATAGTTTGTTTTTATTTCATCAGTTGGCTAATAAAGATCTTAATGTACAGTAAAATTTATAATGAGGCAGATTTCAGTTCAGTAACAGTCAAGAGTATCCAGAAATGACACAGGCTGCTTTGTGAAGTAGTGTTACCCCCTTTAGTTGGAAATTCTCCAGCACAATCCAGATGGAGGCCTTATGGGGACACTGTAATGAGTGACCCTAGAAGTGGGCAAGATGTCTTTAAACATCTAGATATCCCTGAAATTTCTAGAATCAAAAACCCCATAGCATACATTCCTCATCTGCATGCCATCATCGACCCTCATTAATCAATTGGTGCACTTTCTCAATAAGCCAAGATGAAGTCCACTACTTTTTAAGAGAACATCCTGAGCAGTCATAAGTAATCAAATGGAGTTGGTGCACAAGGGGAAACGATTGGCCTTCCAGCCTAAACTGGAGGCTCTAGATGCATAGAATATTGGCTCTTAAAGAATCTCGGATCACTAATTGAGTGGTGTTCAAACTGTGTAACTCAGAGCTCTAGCAGCTGTCTAAGACCTCAGAGCCAAGATGAAGAGAAAGAGAAAGAAGTCAATGGGACTCAGGCCCCCTGCCTTCTGTTCAACTAGAACAGGTACACTTAAATCCATTTTATATATTGCAGATAGACGATTGTCTTTGATAAAAGGTTTCCAGAGTTTAAAAAAAGAAATCAAAGCAGATGAGAGACTTTCAAATTGCATCACTGTACAAATGGTACCAAAATGTGTAACAACTTGCCTGAGGTCACATAGCCAGTAACAGGGACTGAATCCGAATGTGGAGTTTGTTCTGATTCTCAGCCTGACTGTCTTTCCATGTTTCAGATACATAATGGTGAGGATCACAGATTCTGGTGTCAAATTGCCTCAGTCAAATCCCAGCTCTGACACCTCCTAGGGATGTGGAACTTACGCAAGTTACTTAATAACAAAATGGGGATGATAATAAAAGTAATACCTTATTGAGCTATTGCAAAAATTAATTCAGTTAATGCATGCAGTTTCTAAAACGCCGGCTGACAGAGTGAGCATTCAAAAATGTCACTTCACAGGGACAAGGACTAGAAGGCAGGAGGGGATAGGAAAGCTGGTAATAGGGAACCTAAGGTTAAGAAGGGACAGTGTTGATGTGTTGTGGGGTTGTTAACCATTGTCATAAAACAATATGTGTACTAACTGTTTAATGAGAAGCTATTTGTTCTGTAAACCATCTAAAGTACAATCAAAACAAAACAAAAATGTCACTTCGTGCTATCCTCATTATCATTATTATCAAGTTACCGTAATTAGGGGCAGTTTATTTGTCATGTTGAGTGAATAGAGTGTGAGGATTCCTAAGATATTCACGGTCACCATGATTTCTAAGTGTCTGTAACTTTGCCAGATTCCTTCTTATGCCACTAGAAGGCAGGGGCCACTGGAATTCTCCTGTGGGCGGTTAGAAGTTTCACAAAATTCTAAATCCAGAAGCCCGATAGAAAGGAATGAAAGCTAACTTGCTTTGTTTGTTTTTAGCACTTACTGTGTCTCAAGTAGAAACCCTGGTGGCCTAGTGGTTAAGAATTTGGCTGCTAACCAAAAGGTCGGCGGTTCGAATCCACCAGGTGCTCTTTGGAAACCCTGTGGGGCAGTTCTACTCTGTCCTATAGGGTCGCTGTGAGTCGGAATCGACTCGATGGCAACGGATTTGTTGTTGGTTTTTTTTTTTTTTGGGGGGGGGTTCTCAAGTCAAAGCCCTGGTGACACAGTGGTTAAGAGCTCGGCTGCTAACCAAAAGATTGGCCGTTCAAATCCACCAGCCACTCCTTGGAAACCCTATGGGGCAGTTCTACTCTGTTCTATAGGGTCTCTATGAGTCAGAATCAACTCAATGACAACGGGTTTTTGTTCTGATGCCTCAAGTCAGGAGCCTTGGTGGTATAATGGTTAAGCACTCAGCTACTAACTGAAAGGTAAGTGATTAAAACCCATCAGCAAGCAGCTCCACAGGAGAAAAGACCTGATGATCTGATCCCATAAAAATTACAGCCTAGGAAACCCTATGGGGAAGTTCTACTCTGTCATATAGAGTCTCTCTGAGTCAGAATCAACTCAGCAGCACCCAACAACAACATGCCTCAAGTACTATTTAGGCATTTATGGGAATATCCCTGCAGTAGTATTTAGGCATTTATGGGAATATCCCTTCCATTGTTCTTTCTCTAGGCCTGTAAATAGGTTACTACGCTCCCTAAACAAGGAAAGGGGGGCATATGGAAGTTAAATAACTCTTCAGAGTTTCTTGGAATCTGCTTGTTTTTACTTTTTTGCGTTTGAGAGTTAATGTTGTTATTTAAAATAAATAGCTCCTGGGTATTTCTCTAAGATAAAACCTGAAGAGCTGAATTTGCTTTTTGTTCACAATTTTAATTTAGTTCTTCAGTTTTTGACAATCTGTATATTACCCAAAGGGATGGAAGTTGAGTGAATTTGGGGAAGTTTTTTTTTTTTTTTCCCCTCTGCAGTGGCAAGGGGCATGACAAATAGAATATTTGAATATTTAATAATCTCAAAGGCAAAAGACATAATCACAAGTTACAATATAATTCAACGTAACAAATATGTGTAGGCTTTTAATGTAATTTAATTCAATTTAACTAGCATTTACTGAGGCTTTATAATGTCAGCTCACAGGGAGAAACAAAGATAACTAAAACAGTATTCTGCCCATAGGAAGGTTTGGCAGAGCGAGGAACTCTGGAGTTTAAGGTAAAACTTGTTGATACAAATGAAAGCTTGCCTTGCTTAATGGAGAAAGTTAGAAGCTTCCTCCCTAAACCCTACAAAACTCCTGGCAGAAATGCAACCTCTTGAAAGAAAAAGAAGGCTAAGGATGTCAGAGTGCCTTATCTCTCCTTCCATGTTCCTCGGCTCTCTGAGCAGTTTCTACTCTAGCACAGGTGCCAGGTATGTTCACTTGTGAACATCTTGTCTCCCTCGTTGGCCCAGGAATCTTCTGAGGGCAAGAACTGTGTCTTGTATTCTCTGCCTCCTGGCATTACAGACAGCGACTGACACCTACAGCTTCTCCATGAACCTTCGCCCAATAAAAAAGAAAGTGAGTCAGTCGGAGGCCACCCCTTCTCTCCATGGTCCAACATAGGAGATCTTGGTCCAACATCTGCAGGGTGAGAAGGCACAGAACTGGCCCTACTTGGGATATGTTATTGCCTTCCTGGGGGATCCTTCCAGCAATAGAGCTAGTTTGAAACAGGGCCAGATATTTCCAAGGTTATCGAGCAGACCACTTTCTTCATGATGCAGGGAACAAAGCTTAGATTTTTAGTTTTTGTAAGCAGAGCAGTGACTGCACCAGCTCATTAGAAAGACATTTCACATTTTGAAATACTATTAATCATGAGGGCAGTTCCCATGCATTTGGGAACTCTCTCTCTGGTTTTGCTATACAGATATCCAAATGAGATCTTCATTCTGATCTGGCCTTTCTAGTTCCATTTGAGGCTAATTTAAAGGAGATGATAGAAAATAGAACTTCAAGAACAAGGATTAATCAAAGTCAACCAATTAACATGTAATCATGTAGTGCCTTCCATGAGCGTCACCGACATGAAAGATCACGTGCAATTTCACTCCCTTGTTCAGGAATTCCCATCACACTTCCCCATCCAGGCTGAACTCAAGTACTGCTTCCACCTTGAAACCCCCATCTTAGTTATCTCGTGCTGCTGTAACAGAAATACCACGAGTGAATGGCTTTAACAAAGAGAAATTTATTTTCTCACAGTCTAGTAGGCTAAAAGTCCAAATTCAGGGTGTCGGCTCCAGGGGAAGACTTTCTTTCTCTGTTGGCCTTCTCATCCGTGTTCCCTTGGACTAGGAGCTTCTCTGCACAGGGACCTCAGGTCCAAAGGATGCGCTCTGCCCCTGGCACTGCTTTCTTGGTGGTTTAAGGTCCTCTTTCTGTCTCCTACATTTCCTTTTTTATCTCTTGAGAGATAAAATGTGGTGCAGGCCACACCCCAGAGAAACTCCCTTTACTTTGGATCAGGGATGTGACCTGGGTAACAGTGCTTACAATCCCACCCTAATCCTCTTTTATATAAAATGGAGAACAACCACACAATGCTGGGAATCATGGCCCAGCAAAATTGATGCACACATTTTTTGGGGGACATAATTCAATCCATGACACCCCCCTTCATTATTCCAGCTCAGGCACACCTTTTTTCTTGTCTGAACTCCAGTAGTACTTCAAGTAAACATTGATATAAATCCAGAACACAATTTTAATAGTTGTCTGTTGCCATCAAGATGATTCCAACTCATAGAGACTCTATAAGACAAAGCAGAACTTCCCCCATGGTGTTTCCAAGGCTGTAAATCTTCATGGAAGCAGATTGCCACATCTTTCTTCTACAGAGTGGCTGGTGGGTTCAAACCGCCGACCTTTGGGTTAGCAGCCGAACTCTTAACTTCTGAGCTACCAGGGCTCCTTGACTTTACTAGTAGGACCTGTGATATCATGGCCCTTTGAGTCTCCACAATAAAACAGAACATTGTTGTTGTTGGCTGTTACTGAGTCAGCCCCCGACTCATGGCAATACCATGCACCATAGGGTCCATAGGGGACCACTATGTTATGATCTATAGGGTTTGCATTGGCCAAGTAGATCACCAGGCATTTCTTCCTTCTATTCTATAAAGGCCTTCTATTCTATAGTAAGATATATGGGCTTTGTCCCAGGGTACTGGGAACTGTTGATGGTTTTGAGTTGGGAGGGTTACTATTTGTCTCAGGGCTGTTGAGTTCCAGTCCATTATCCACATGAATGCTAGTTGTGAGATGGACGCAGCAGGCCAGGCAGATGAGAAGGACTTGACCCAGGCATGTGGCAGAGGTACCACAGAGAAGAAGAGAGGCTCTAGAAACACTTCAGAGGCAGAATCGTCGAGGCTTAGAAACCAACTGGATTGTGTAGGATGCAGAAGAAAGCAACATTAAGGAGCTTGAGACACTGGGCAGATAAGACTGTTGACTGAGAGAACAGAATCAATGTTGGACATGTTTGGCTTATGGTTAGCAAAGCAAATAGATTTATTTAAACATGGATAGTAGAGAATTAGGTATATAGCAAATACTGAAGTCATTTATTCCTTTCCTACCCAGATCTGTTTCTTTATTAGATTAGCATCATGGTTTTAAATAAATGTGTGTAATGGATAGCTACAGATAATATGAGTAAGTTCGTTTCTGGACAGCAGGTAGTGTTAGAGAAGCTCTGTCTCATTTATCACTGTATTCTGAGCACCCGAACAATGCCCAACACCAACAAAATGTCTGTTGAGTCAGTCAATTAATTGCTTAAATAAATAGTTAGGAAAAATTTAAAGAACCCTTGTTGTAAACTGAGTCATTATAAACATTTTGCTTATTTAATCCTTTTACCTTTATTTTTCTCTGCCCCCTCCACTATATTCTCTATACCTCCTATACCCACTGACACCTGTGCACGCACGCACGCACACACACACACACACACACACACACGGTAACAACTGCATCACAGAGATATACGTAATAATGCTGCAGTTTTAGATTATGGCAAAGATTTCTCTGCTTTTAATCTTGAACTGATCTCTACTTTTTATTTTGACCATTTATTTTAAACTCAATTAAATGAATAACTTGTTTACTCAAAGTTGTACAGTGGCTTTTTCACAGAGACTCACCTGTAGGTTTTCTTAAAGGAGCAACTAACAGAATGGATGATCTTTTTTTGAACCAGCCTGCGACATAGTCAGAAGGCCTTTCTGAGACAAGAATTCCCCAGTCAGCTACAGCTGCTGCCTTACTTTTACGGGTTGCTTCAGGGGGATTCAACTGCTGAGATCTTTAAAAAAAACTTTTCAGATCACACAAGTAAGAAGAGAATACATTATTGTTGTAAAAACAGTAAAGACATATGTAACGCGAAAAGCAAATGCCCCACTTCAGCTCTATCTGCTTAGTCCACTCCTGTTCCGAAAAGTAATCATAGCTAATTTTTATGTGTATCTTTGTAACCTTTCTTTTCTGTGCATTTAGGACACAAACCTATATATTTACAAAGACAAGGTTTTATTTTAATATAAATTGAATGATACTACAGTGAAAACTGAGAGCCAGAACTAGACAGGACTGCTTTGTTTTTCTGGGTCTCGCCAGTTTTCTGCCTTTGACAGGATGCAGTCTTACCACTTTCCTATCGCTTGTTTTAGTGGAAAGTAGTTGAGTTTTCATTCGCTGACAGGTTTCCTCCTTACACGGGTTCTGACTTGCGCTGGTTTTACTGTATAATCAGTTGTCATTGAGTCGATCTTGACTCATGGTGACCCTGTGTACATCAGATAGAACTGTGCTCCATAGGGTTTTCAATGGCTGATTTTTCGTTAGTAGATTCCCAGGCCTTTCTTCTGAGGCACCACTGGGTGGACTCAAACCTTCAAGCTTTTGATTAGCAGTCAAGCGTTTTAACAGTTTGCGGCACCCAGGGACTTCAATTATACTATGTTGGTGTGTGCCTATGAGTCGGAATCGACTCAGCGACAGAGTAGAACTGCGCCATGAGGTTTCCTAGTCTGTAATCTTTATGGGAGCAGATTATAGTGCTAAATAATAAAAATAGTTGCAGAACAATGCATCTTGGAGACATTACCATGTTGATGCATATGTACGTACTGGATTCTTTTTTAATTGCACCGTAGTATTCTGTAATATGGATATACTTCGTTTATTTAAATGTTCCTTAATTCATGGATGTTTAGTCTGTTTCCAATGTTTCACTGTTATGAAGAATGTCACAATGAAATCTTTGCCCTTGCCCTTTTCTGAAAATACATGAGTATTTCTTTAGAAAATTTCCCTTGAATTAGAGTTACTGGGTAGAAAATAGGCACATTTAAAACTCTGACAGATATTTCAAATTTTTTCTTACAAAAAGCTCTAACAATTTACCCCTTTGCCAATCAAACCAAAAAACCAAACCCTTGGTTATGGAGTTGAATAAAAAAACCAAAAACCAAACCCATTGCCATAGAGTCAGTTCCAACTCATAGGGACCCTATAGTCCTTAACTAAATATTTCCATTCTTTGAAATTATTACCAATTTTGTGGACAACAAAATGAAATCTTAGTGTTATTTTCAATTAAATCGTTGATTCCCCACGAGGTGGAGCTTTGTGTGCTGATGAGAGCTATGCTCACCATTTCCCTCTGTGTCTTAGTGTCCCCTTGCCGTCCCATTTCAGATGCTCACTACCTCACCTGCAGGATCCAGGAATGTGCCGAGACTACTCGGAGTGGGCCCTTTGCTCGTTCCATTGACATCAGCTCCCTGGTTGTGCAAGATGAATATATCTTCATTCAGGTAAGTACAGAAAGGCCCATCAGTGGTAGAGGGAGGATGCGTAGGTGAAGTCAGCTGCCTGCTAAGAAAATCAGGCTGCTTTCCCCCAGGCTGGGGAGATGTGGAACTGGGGGTGATGCCCCTCTCTCTCTCTAGGGCTACAGCCCCTGTGGAAGGACCTCTGTGCGGCTTGAAAAATTTCTGTTTCTCAACTCAATTAAAAGCCAGAATCTCAGAATTTTTTTTTTCCCTAGGTCTTGGCAGGTCAATGACCTTGCCGTTCTCTTATTCACAAGAATTTACTGAACACATATAATACAAAATACACTGTACTTGGCACTGCTCTTGGCCTTCTTTTTGCACCCAGTACTTACTTCCTTGGTGATCGCATGGCTCTGAGTACCATCTCTATGTCCTGTAAGTCTCCAGTCAATGAGCTGTGACCTCTCCCACGTGCTACAGACTTAGATACCTAATAGCCATCTCAACATAAGAGTTCCACAAGTAGAATGAAATCAACACATTTCCCTTGGACCTGACACTGTTGGTGATTCTACACTGTAGCAGTTCACTCAAGGTTGAAACCTGGAAGTCAGTCTATGTCACCAAATTAAATAAATCCACAGCATCTGCTAATGTCACCCTTAGTAATTTCTCAAGTGTTTCATTATCCATTGTTCCGATTCTGGTTCCAGACCTTATTATCTTTTCTTTCTAGTTAAAATTTTTAAAGTAGGAGCAGAAGGATGATTTAAGAATTTACCAATATGATTGTTCTTTTGTTAATGTTAATACTGTATATGATGACAGCCATTGCAAAATTGTTTCAGAGAAAATATGACTTTGAATTCAAAATGTTCATTTTTTTTCATTTTTTCCTTGTGTTGGTAAAGTTTTTTATAATGCTGCAGGCAGATATCCAGACTTTTTTTTTTTTTTTACTATTCTGAAACATGATTTATTATACTAGAGGCAAACAGAAGTTTTTTCCTTTAATTGGCATTAGTTTTTCTTTTGTTTGAAAGGGATATGAGGTTTGTTTATTGTGATGGTTAAGATTATGTGTCAGCTTGGCTGGGCCATGATTCTCAGTGTTTATATGTGATCACTCCCATGATGGGATCTGCTGTGAGTAGCCAATCAGTTGAAAGTGAGTTTCCTTGGGTGTGTGGCTGCATCCGAATATAAGCGACGTTCAGGGTTTTTGCTCACTCTGAATCCTGTGGTTGATTCCTGTCTGTCTGACTCCGGTTCTTGGGACTTGAGCTATCAGCTTATCTGACAATCTTGAGATTCGTCGATCTTCACAGCCTGTGAGCAGGAGCCCTGCTCTCTGACCTGTCGGTCTTGGGTTCGCCAGCCCCTGTGGCTACGTGAATCAGGAGAAGCCTCTGTCCTGATCCACAGACTTGGGACGTTCTAGTCTCTACAATCACGTGAGCCATTTCCTTGATATAAATCTTTCTCTATATATGTTTATGTGCTTTATTGGTTTTGCTCCTCTAGAGAACCCAGCATAAGACATTTGGTACTGAGAGTGATTCTAGAGAAACAAAATTGTAATGATGAGTTTTCTAAGTTGATTCTCAAGTCTGGTTAGTCTTAAAGATGTTGATGACTCTGCTTCTAGCAGTAAAGAGGGCACTGCTAATCCATGGCTTGAGGTGATCTACACTAAATCAAGTTGAAGTACTAGACCTGCCTTGGTATACTGGAAGAAAGTATCCAAAGGCTTAGGGAAATTGGCATGCTAGAGTGGATTTATCAGGTTAGACTCACAGATCCACACATGGCATGCCCAGGGGACACACCTTTTACCACAACTGTGAGGAACAAATTTGTGAAGGGGGCTCCAGCATCCTGGAAGACTGCTATGATTGCTATTTTATGTAAATCAGATTTGACAGTGGTAACTACCCTAAGTGAATTAAGACACCTGACTACAATGGCTCCACTCAATTGACAAAGACAAGGTGGACGTGGTTACAGTAATGGACAGCAGAGTCAAAGCAGTAATCAGAAGAGTCTGACTCGTATGAACTTATGGCATTGGCTACTTAGTCATGGTGTCCCTAGAAGTGAAATAGATAGAAAATCTGCTAAATATTTACTTGATCTGTACAAATGGATGAATTCTAGGTCAGGTGAACAGCAGTCTAACTCAAATTGCCAGAATAGAGAGTCAGGGTCCCTCAATCAATTCCCAGATTTTAGTGAGTTTAAAGACCCAAAACTCCTTGAATGAAGGGGCGTCTGGGTCCCCTTCAGGAAGGACTCCAATACACTGCCAAAAATTTTTACTGTTAATCTCTCTCCTAGCCTTCCCCAAAGGGATCTACGGGCTTTTACAAGAGTGACTATTCATTGGGGAAAAGTAAATAATCAGACTTTTCAGGAATTACTGGATACTGACTCTGAACTGACACTAATTCCAGGAGACCCAAAACGTCACTGTGACCCACCAGTCAGAGTGGGGGCATATGGAGGTCAGGTTATTAATGGAGTCTTGGCTCATGTCCATCTCACAGTAGGTCCGGTGGGTCCCCAAACCCATCCTGTAGTGATTTTCCCCTGTTCCAGAATGCATAATTGGAATAGATATACTCAGCAACTGGCATAACGCCCACATTGGAGCCCTGACAAATAGACTAAGGACTATTATGGTAGGAAAAGCCAAGTGGAAGCCATTAGAACTGCCCCTACCTAGGAAAATAGTAAACCAAAAGCAATACTGCGTTCCTAGAGGGATTGCAGAGATTACTGCTACCATCAAGGACTTGAAGGATACAGGGGTGGTGATTTCCACCACATCCCCATTCAACTCGCCTCTTTGGCCTGTGCAAAAAACAGATGGATCTTGGAGAATGACAGTAGATTATCAAAAACTTAACCAGGTGGTGACTCCAATTGCAGCTGCTGTTCCAGATGTAGTTTCATTGCTTGAGCAAATTAATACATCTCCTGGTACCTGGTATACAGCTTTTGACCTGGCTAATGTCTTTTTCTCCATACCTGTTTTGAAGGACCATCAGAAGCAGTTTGCCTTCAGCTGGCAGTGCCAGCAGTACACCTTCACTTGCCTACCTCAGGGCTACATCAACTCTCCGGCCCTATGTCATAATTTAGTCCGCAGGGACCTTGATGGCCTTTCCCTTCCACAAGACATCACACTGGTCCATTACATTGATGATATTATGCTGATTGGACCTAGTCAGGAAGATGTGTCAATCACTCTGGACTTACTGGTAAAACTTCTGCATGCTAGAGGGTGGGAAATTAATCCCTCAAAAATCCAGACACCTTCCACCTCAGTGAAATTTCTAGGGGTCCAGTGGTGTGGGGCATGTCGAGATGTTCCTTCTAAAGTGAAGGATAAGTTATTGCACCTGCCTGCTCCCACAACTAAAAAGGAGACATAACGCCTAGTGGGCCTCTTTGGATTTTGGAGGCAACATTTTCCTCATTTGGGTGTGCTACTCCAGCCTATTTATCAAGTGACTTGAAAAGTTGCTAGTTTTGAGTGGGGCCCAGAACAAGAGAAGGCTCTTCAACAGGTTCAGGCTGCTGTGCAAGCCGCTCTGCTACTTGGGCCATACAATCTGGCTGATCCAATGGAGCCTAAAGTGTCAGTTGCAGATAGAGATGCTGTTTGGAGTCTTTGGCAGGCCCCTATTGGTGAATCACACCACAGACCCTTAGGATTTTGGAGGAAAGCCCTGCCATCCTCTGCAGATAACTACTCTCCTTTTGAGAAATAGCTTTTGACTTGTTACTGGGCCTTAGTGGAGACTGAATGCTTAACCATGGGACACCAAGTCACCATGCGGCCTGAGCTGGCCATCATCAACTGGGTGTTGTCTGATCCACAGAGTCATAAAGTTGGACATGCACAGCAGCATTCCATCATTAAATGGAAGTGGTATATACAAGATTGGGCCCGAGCAGGACCTGAAGGCACAAGTAAGTTGAATGAGGAAGTGGCCCAAATGCCCATGGTCTCCACTCGTGTCACATTACCTTCCATCTCCCAGTCTGTGCCTATGGCCTCATGGGGAGTTCCTTATGATCAGTTGACTGAAGGAGAGAAAACTCGTGCCTGATTTACAGATGGTTCTGCAAGATATGCAGGCACCACTCGAAAGTGGACAGTGGCAGCACTGCAGCCCCTTTCTGGGACCTCCCTGAAGGACAGTGGTGAAGAGAAATCTTCTCAATGGGCAGAACTTCGAGCAGTGCACCCGCTTTTTCACTTTGCTTGGAAGGAGAAATGGCAAGATGTGCAATTGTATACTGATTCATGGACTGTGGCCAATCTTTTGGCTGGATGGTCAGGGACTTGGAAGGAACATAATTGGAAAATTGGAGACAAGGATTTATGAGGAAGAGGTATGTGGATAGACCTCTCTGAATGGGCCAAAGAAGTGAAGGTATTTGTGTCTCATGTGAATGCTCATCAAAGGGTAACCTCAGCAGAGGATGATTTTAACAATCAAATGGATAGGATGATGTGTTCTGTGGAAACCTGTCATCTTCTTTCCCCAGTTACTCCTGTCATTGCTCAATGGTCTCATGAAGAAAGTGGCTGTGGTGGCAGGGACAGAGGTTATGCATGGGCCCAGCAACATGGACTTCCACTCACCAAGGCTGACTTGGCTACAGCCACTGCTGTGTGCCCAGTCTGCCGGCAGCAGAGACTAGCACTGAGTCTCTGATATGGCACCATCCCTTGAGGTGATCAGCCAGCAACCTGGTGGAAAGTTGATTACATTGGACCACTTCCATCATGGAAAGGGCAGCGTTTTGTCCTTACTGAAATAGACACTTACTCTGGATATGTTGCCTTCCCCGCATGCAGTGCTTCTGCCAAAACTACCATCCATGAGCTTACAGAATGCCTTATTCACCGTCATGGTATCCCACACAGCTTTGCCTCTGATCAAGGGACTCACTTCAAATTAAGTGTGACAGTGGGCCCATGCTCATGGAATTCACTGGTCTTACCATGTTTCCCATCATCCTGA